GGAGGCCAGTGGATACCCGGTGGTGTCACCGATGAGGAGGGTCAGAGTCAATACATTAAAGACTATCATGAGAATCAAGGCATCTTACTGGACGCCTCAAATATCAAGCACAACCCTGCTAAAAGACAAGTGGCCAAACTGTGTTTGAATTCTTTTTGGGGAAAGTTTGCGCAAAAGTGCAATATGAATCAAACCAAGATAGTGAGCGAGCCCCAAACATTTTTCAACCTGTTATTTTCAGGAACTCATGTTGGACAAAACCTGTCCTGCATGTTCTTTTATGAAGAATGCTCAAAGACAAATCTGTGTTATCAAGAATTTCTTTCTACACTCACGAGGCTAAATATTTTAACTTTCTCAATGACAACGTGGCCCTCATTCAGCACAGCAGCAGCAGGGGCAGCCCAACCCCGCTGATAATGTATTTATCGCAGCTTTTACGTGTCACACCAGATTGAAACTGTACAGTCATATGGAGAGGCTTGAAAAGAGGGTTCTCTATTACGATACAGACAGTTTAATTTACACCACTAAACAGGGCGAGACAGAGTTGGAGCTGGGTCATTATCTGAGTGATCTCATGGACGAGCTAAATTCAGATTCCATCCAGGAATTTGTTTCAGCAGGTCCTAAAAGTTACGGATGTCAAACCAGAGGTGGCAAGGTGGAAATCAGTTTACCTTTTGGTTACTAAAGCAAAAAAGAAATCATTACATGTCTCTGAGGAGGAGATGAATTTTAGCCCGGGCCTAAAAGCCCCCTTTTCTTGCATGGTCGTGGGACCCAACAGTGTTGGGAAAACTTTTTTTGTAAAAAGATTTTTGGAAGATTGTAAATATGTGATGGATGTTGTACCTGATAATATTGTATGGATCTACACTTCGTTTCAACTTATGTATGCTGATTAGCAATAGATGAATAAAGGAATGAAATTTGTGGAAGGTTTGCCCTCTTCATTCCAGGATGAAGCTCTGTTTCCTCCAGGTCTGAAACATCTCGTTATTTTGGACGACGTTATTTTTGAAGCCTTGGAACATCCAGAGGTAGTTAAAATCTTTACTCAATACTGCCACTACCGCCAGATGTCCATCATGTTCTTAATGCAGAATATTTTTCAGAATGAGTCTAAACAGCACACACATCATTTCATTTAAAAATCCACGCGATAAACTTCAGACCTCTGTACTAGCCCATCATATTTTCCTCAGGCAGAAAGCTTATTTTAAGAAGAGTTATGAAGATGCCACAAAGGACCCCCACGGTTATTTACTGGTTGACTTAACCCCCTCCTGCGCAGAGCATTTGAGACTAAGAACTTGTGTGTTACCCAAAGAGCGCACCTGTGTGTATATCCCTGGAAGAACCGCTAATAAACATGTCTGAACGCATAAAGCAAAACCTGCCTCTATTGAAGGCGTTAGTTTCCAGCACCCCGCATAGATGTAAGGCCATTCTCGAGGCCTGTTCACACGACCTGGTTAAAACCATTTGTGAATTGGCATTTAATCTTCTTAGAGGTCATATTACTCTTTCAGCCGATCAGTACAACAAGTTAAAGAGGCAGAGGAAAAGTCTGAGAACCCTGGCAGATAAAAAAAACGGCTTTAGTGAAAAAGAGGAGACTTATTCAGAAAGAGGGGTTTCTGCTCACTGCTGCGCTGCCCATCATAGGCCAAGTCATGGGTGGTTTGATGAACAGAGGCTAAAAAAGAAATGGCGTGGCCTCCAAAAAAATGTATCTCGTCTCTCAAGAGCAGTTGAATCGCCTCGAAGATCACGGTAAGGACATCAGAGAGAGGGCGGAGAGTGATTTGGATGAGCAAATGAGAACAAAAGAATCTTACGCCTGATGTTGAAATTAAAAGATACACCCTGCTTTTACATCGTTACCTTAACTTGGAAAAACAGAAGAGGGCGAAGACTCACGAAATTACCCTGGCTCTACCTAAAGAGCCTGAGCCAGCAGCCATAGCACCACCAGCAGCTGCAGCACCACCAACAGCAGCCACAGAGGGCAATGAGAGACCCTCCTATGATAAAATAACTCAAGATGTGCTGACAAATATTAACCCCCGTTTTCAAAAGAAAGCCAAGTACATTCTACAGAAAATGTCAGAGTCTGGAGCATTATTAAATGAATAAAGGAGTTTTATTGAACCATGATTTTTTTCTCAGAGTATTCTTACAGATAGTTTCATTTTAAAATATCACACATTTTTGAAAATAACATTAAAACATATGCTGGTCAAAAACTACAGTTAATCTATGCTATAAAATAATATTAAAACAAAGCAAGAGTCATCTTACTAATAAAAACAATCTATAGCTTTAGGTTATGACATTGTGAAAAAATGCTTAAAGAACACTCACATGCAATCTATAGAGGAAGAAGACCAAGAGGTTATGTAGTTTTGATAGGCTTTTTCAAAGTCAGAGGCCATAAGATCATTTCTGATGGTATTGTCTCCATACAGCCTCAGCACCTGTGAATAGGATAGGCCTCGGCCCCTTTGAAAAAGATAATACACACAGTGCTCTCCGCATACTACAGATAAAGGATGCTGCAACGTCTGGTTGTGATAATAAATTACCCCGAGCCCTCTCTGCAGGAAACGCAAGATAGTTTTAGGGTATGTAGAAAGAAATTCTTGATAAAATAATATAGTGCTATGTTATGTATTTGCAAAACTGTTTAAAAGATTGACCTTTGTAATGGCTTGACCTGTGCACTAGAAATACTGTGTGTGAGTAGGTGTCTAAGTGCAGAGACAACAGGAAGTGCGCAGATGCAGACTGAGATGACTGGACTGTCTGCAAGAAGAGATGTGAGTGGGTAAAAGGTCTTATTGTTTTGGCTTTAGACTATCAACATTTATCAACATTATCTGAAATCCTTGGCCTTCTATGATTCGTAGCCTGCCTGTTTTGACAGGGGGCAGAATGCTGCCTTCCTCGTTGGGGGCTAGGTTGAATGCAAACAAAGTGTAGCCTTGTTGAAAATCCTGTCTGTTGAAACACAGGGATAGGTCTTTCAGATGACGCCCCGTGGCCGTGACGAGGTTGTAATATTCTCTGATGGAGAGGTTGTTTTCAAACTGAGGCTGGAAAGGTTTTGCTGGAATCTGATGTCCGTCCTGACATAAGGCCAGAAACTCGAGGTCAGCGTGTATAAACTTGAAGGGGTTTAGATTACTCCGCCCTGTAAAAGCTTCATTGTTTACAAGAGCAAGCACCACATACTTGTGTAAAGTACCCAGAAAGAGATTTTCTTGGGTGCATATTCTGAAATTTGCGGGGATGGAAAAAGTCTTCACGTTGATGCATGAAAGAGGGTACAGAGCGTTGCTTTTAGTCAGGGCAGAAGAATGACCAATGCATACAGCCGGTGATACTGTGACTTTTTTCACAAACAGAGAGGCTCCCAGGATGTGCAGGTGGTAGTTAGCGTCTGCAGCATGCATAAGACAGAAAGACTCTGCCATTTTTCTCGGACGTTAATACAGACTAATTGCTGAATGAAAAACGTTTTTCGCTCTAGAACCCTGTGAATAACAACAATTCTGATTAGTTGGGGGCGGGGCTAAGGACAGGACAACGATTCTGATTGGTCGACCGGACCTGTCAAATTAATTCTGATGAGAAGTGGTCTCTATATTGTGTGTCACATCCTCTGTTTTACTCCTCTTTCCATAGGCATGGGTGAGTGAATAAGTGAAGATGTAATGAATGGGGACAGTCCCTGTTGTTTAGCCATGAAAAGACTTTAATGTAAATAAAGCTGGAATGTTGGTAAATCAGTCTGTATTGATTTATGAATTAGTATGAGTAATTTTTACAGTTTCTGTTGTCCACACTTATACAGTTTGTAAAGTGTCTCTGTCATTTTATTAAATCACTGCAACCAAAAGAAAGCAGCAGGACACATGTTTGTAAGTGTGCAGCCTCTGATTTAAGTGGGCCATGTCGTATTACAGTGTCATAGGGCAGGGCTATATATCACCAGTTTATCACATGCAAATAAAGCCAGGCTGCTACATAATATCAACACACACCAAATCAAATCAAATCAAATCAAATTTTATTTGTATAGCGCCAAATCACAACAAAAGTCATCTCAGGACACTTTACAAAGTAAGGTCTAGACCTTACTGTTATCAATATTATTACATACATACACCAAAGTTTGGCATTCTGTTTGTTTAATGCCAGAAACATTGTGTTACAGCGGTTTGTCAGTCCTTCTTTCCAACTTTCTATTAAGTGGTTAAGTTTGCATGTGTTGGATGTGTTTCAGTAGTGAGGGAGTTTGTTGTAGGTAGGCATGGGTAAATTTAAGTTTGTTACGTGTTACATGACTTTGCTGCCACTAAACTGCACACTCTCCCAGGAGTCTCAGTAAGAGTAGAGCAAGAGGGCAGTTTATTATAGTGATGTGAAAATGCAGTCAAAACACTGACAAGACATTGTACAAAGAACCTAACTTCTTCACAGTTGGAGAATTAAATACACTGCTTGCTTGTACAAATTTAGCAGCATGTATCAATTTACACAGATGTAGCACAACAGAAAAAATGTGAATGAATCTGTCATTAGTGTGCATTAGTGTCTTGCATCTCTTTTCCTCCTCTTGCTTGTGACTTGTCTGTGTGAATAAGCGAAGATGTAATGAATGGGGACAGTCCCTGTTGTTTGGCCATGGAGAGCTGTTTTCCAGCTGAAAGAGAGCCATTAACCTGTTAGCAGTATTGATTGTGAGATTACAAGGTCTGATCTGATCACAATACTTTGGGGGTGTTTTCACTGTTTTACCATAGTAATGAGTAATGAATCTTTATATTCAGTAAGATATCTGCAAGGAAAACATGCACCTGTGGCTATTTGCTTCCACCTGTCAATATGTGCAACTAGATGAGTGTTAGTCAAGGTTGTGTTCAGTTTACTTTCAATAAATAAATGGAGCTAAAATGAAATTGTTCCATGTGTGTGTTTGTGTTCTTCAGACCAGTGCAGTGCTGTGTTCAGGAGGCTGTGCTTTGCTGGCTGCCAGCTCCCTGTTGGCCATCATCACCATCTTCCTGCCCAGTGGAGGATGTGAGAGGAGGATCTGCACCCTGGCTGGATACATGCAGATGGCTGCAGGTTGGTACAGACTGAGGACATCCTTTTCACAAATAGTTAAGAAAAATGTTGAACTTTTGAGTTTGTAAAGCATTTTATAATTCTCTCAGATTATCTAAAACTGTAATGCATTCCTTAATATACAAAATTTCATTATTAGAGTCATACTCAACAATCAGTGATAGCTCTGCCTATTACCAGACCTCTAAAAAGCATCTGACTTTGTCCATCAGTCAAAAAAAAAAAGAAAGAAAGAAACAACTTGAGGACAGCTGCTGCTAGGCAACCATAGTCTGCTTGGCACTTGTAGGTGTGAGCCAGCAAAGGGAAGGCGAGGACAGATTTAGAGCCTGCTGTAAAAAGACAATTATGCCTCCTTAACACAGGTCTTTGGTTGAGGGCTACATGTGACTTATCAGGCCACTGCTTTCACTCAAACAGAGAAGTAGTCTCATATACAAAGCGCAGTCTTGTCAGCGCTTGGGCTTTAAAAAGCCATAATACTCCACAGCTCCTGTTGCTGCTCAGTACTGGCCTTTACACTCTTGCCTTGTGCACTGGAGCATTTTAATGGCAGTTGGTACAAATGTGAAGCATTTTTCTGTTGTTATAAGCAAGAGTACAGTGCTTTAGTTACAACAAGATATTTTATAACCTCCACCAAGGCGGAGGTAATGTGTTTACTAGCGTTTGTTTGTTAGTTGGTTTGTTCAGCACAACTCAAAAAGTAATATATGATTTTGATTTGATTTGATTTATTCTTTCAAGCATGTAAAGACA